ATAATCCATTTTTCTCTTTGAACTATTTTATGCTTGGCAACAGGAAATGAATAAAATTTACAATGACTGTTGTACCCAGTATTTTTACATGTATCATATATTTTTCCTTTTTGAAAAATCGATATTCGCCATTATTTGAATGTTTACAAGTTAAATGCACAAAACTGCCACTAACAGCGTTGGTGAAAACTGTCAAGTCCCCTCTACTCATCGGCTCACAGCGAATACATAACGATATATTAATACAGTCAAATACATATTTGTATACTAACCTGTACAACGTTATTACTGAAGATTTTTTATTAGCATTGCTTCTGCTACTGCAACTACTTTGGGAACAAGAAACTATTATTATGCACTATCACAATATATCATTACAGTTTCTATAAAAGTATTATAAAACTTAAAATATTCGAAAAACAACAAACGTAAATAAACTTATACGATCTGTCAAAAGTGTCAAACCAATATTAACAATAGTATCAACAATATGGCCGAAGTGAGGTCGTTTTTAGTCACGTGATGCCCTCTCCGTAGATTCTAACTCGATGATTTAGATATAACTCCAACCAATTATACATCCGTAAGTAGAATTCGCTTTAATATGCAAATATCCGTGAATCATACATAATTTTTTAAGTTTTATATATAATAATGACAGACTCACGTTTTTTTCTGTCACTTCTAGCTTAATTCGTTTGAGAGAATTCGATCAACTATGACCCACTGAAAGAAGGGTTTGGAACGGACTATATGCATGTGGTTTGTTGTGTTTTGTATTATAAAAAGCCTTTTCTTTTCTTTACATTTTGTCTTCGCTACTTCTCTAAACCAAGTGGTTTTTTGATATGTTGGTGTTCGCTACTTTCCTCTCTCCAAGTGATCCTGTTGCTGTGTTAATTATTGTTATTTTTGAGTTTTTCCCAGCTTTCCTCGACGTTATCGTTTTCTAATATTTTATTCACAGCAATATTTTCTGATATTCCTTTCCTCTACAAGTATTTAGTAGACTTCGTATTTAACTCTCCAGCTCTGATTTTATAATCACTTAAAACGTTTAATTTTAGAGCATGTTATCTATAAGAAACTTCATGCAGAACCTAGTAGATCAGATCTTATCTCTCTTATCTCCTTATCTGTGTCATAGTCCACCGATAAATAGGAAGACGATTGAAGATTTTTACTTTATTTGAAACTCAGGTTCATGAAGTAGCCTTTAACATTGCATAGAAAATAAAGAAGAGAGGAAAAGAAAAGAAATTAACACATATAGTGACAAAATATTTGTTTGAGTTAGATATAAAATTCTGGCACATTTGCCGATCCCCATATTTTGCATACTTAATCACCTTTAGCGTCTGTTCTATTGAAAATTGCTAGATTACAGAATTTCATACATTATTTTCATTAAAAGGCCGAATTAAACGAGTCAAAATAAAACTCTTACAAATGCATCATCCCATTTTAATGAATGCGAGTGTGCAGCACACTTTTTCATTTTGAAGGATGTACTGCGTGCCATTTCGATACGTGCTCTAATTTCCATGGCGTTGTCGTGATTACTGTTTGGCCATGTTTTTAGGTATTTAAACGTTTTCACTACGTGTGTTTTCTAGTCTAAATTGTAAAACTTTTCAAACTTTTGTGAATGCGATAAATTTCATATGAGGAATAGAATTTTAACTTGATTTAAATATACAGAGTTATCGAAAAAAATCGTAATTAGAAGTTTTGGAATAAGCCATCTTTATTTTTGATGATTAGACACTCATACACAAGTACACCGAATTAAAAATAAATATTCAAAACCCAACTTGTATATATATATATATATATATATATATATATATATATATTTGTCTAATTTCGTTAAAAACACAATTTTAAGGAAAACAAAATAGACTAAAAATCTAAAAAAGAAAGCTGGGCCAATTATGTCTCATCAATAAATTCATCTACACCAATAAGTGATATTTGGCAGAAAATAAGGAAAATAAAAGGCTCAACCAAAATTAATCATATTGACACCATTGCTACTGATAACTTAATTACGTCAGATAAACTAGAAATTGTAGAAATCTTAGCTGACCACTATGAACTATATTCGAGCAATGATCAATACAACTCTACATTTTTAAAACACAAAGAAAAAACCGAATTATCACAAATCAAAATAGAAGATATTTTATGCCCTCTCAATATACCGATTACAATAGAGGAGTTAAACGAAAGCTTAGGCAATGCTAAAAAAACTTCTTCAGGACCTGATGATATTCCAACAATATTTATTGAGAAACTACCTGAAACAGTAAAGAAAATTTTAGTTGACATCTTTAACAATATTTACACAAATAAAACGTTTCCTTCAATATGGCGTCAAGCAATTATAATTCCTTCTTTAAAAATGAATAAGCCAAAAAACTTACCATCCTCCTATCGTCCAATATCTCTCACCAGTAACATTTGCAAAGCAATGGAGAGAATATTGAGTAAAAGACTGAAATGGCATTTGGAAAAGGAAAAACTTTTTACTCCAATACAAAGCGGATACCGTTCAGACAGATCGACAGCTGATAACATTGTTGCACTAGAATCCGAAATACATAAAGCATTTACAAATCAACAAAAAGTAATTGCAATATTTTTCGACATTAAAAAAGCTTTCGACACAATATGGAAGCATTATATCCTCAAAATTATGAAAAACTGGAAAATAGATGGTAACTTTCTCTCTTTCACCAAAAATTTTCTTCAAAACAGGTCCATACAAGTAAAAACGAATGGATTCATGTCAACATCGAAATCACTTCATAATGGAATTCCTCAAGGATCGGCCTTAAGTCCACTATTATTCTTAATCGCAATAAATAATATAACAAACCACATAAAGCTTCCCGTAAAAGCTAATCTTTTTGCTGATGATCTAGTAATATATTATGTTAAAAGTAAAAATATAGAATTAGCTACGCAAATTTTACAGAGAACATTAAACAGCTTAGAAATGTGGTCTTTAGAGACTGGTTTAACTTTTTCAACTGAGAAGACTAAAGTAATAATGTTTGACAAACGAAGAGCAGAATACAACTTAAACTTGTATCTAAATGGCCATCCTCTAAAACAAGTCCGCGAAATTAAATTTTTGTGTGTAATATTTGACTCATAACTCACATGGACTTCACATATCAACAATTTGATCAAATCCTGTCAACAAGGAATAAACTTACTAAGAGTTTTATCCAATCATAAATGGGGATCAGATACTAAAATTCTTCTTAGTTTATATCAGACATTAATAAGAAGCAAACTCGATTACGGATGCATCTGTTATAAAACAGCAAATAAAAATCAACTAAAAAAACTGGATGTTATTCAAACCACATCTCTAAGACTAATCTTTGGGGCCTTTAGAACTACTCCAATAAGAAGCCTTCAAGTGCTAGCAGGAGAAATGGCACTATACCCCAGAAGACAATATCTATCACTATGCTACGCTTCAAGAATTCTAAGCACAAAGGATCATACCTTTCTCGCAAGTTTAGTATCGGAAGAATCACTAGAACAATACACAAATTACACCACCAAGACAGTACCATTTTACGAACGAGTTAAAAGATTACCGTATTATATCAATCAAATTACCTTGTCACCCATAAAAATATACCAGACACCTCCCTGGACAGTTTCTTTACCAATAGTAGACCTCTCCTTACTTAATCATAATAAGCATTTACATAATTCTGCAGAGATCAGACTTCAGTATCATATAAATTTACTCAAATATTCCACTCACAAATTGTTCTTCACTGATGCCTCCAAAACTTGCAACGGAGTAGCAGCTGCTACTGTATCAGAAAACTTATTTTCTGCCACTAAATTAACTCACGGCTGTAGTATTTATACCGCAGAGCTCCTAACAATACTTGACGCACTAAATCATTGTAAAACCATAAATGAAAAACAAATACTAATATTATCAGATTCATTAAGCTCTTTACAGGCCATTAAACATGTTTATCCCACACACATCAATCTATTTTTAATTAAGCACGCGTTGCAACAGCTCCAATTTTCTGGGAAAATTATATCATTTATGTGGGTCCCATCAAATGTCGGAATATCTGGTAATGAGCTAGCAAACAAAACAGCGTTTGAAGCAATAAACAATGTGAACATTCCGACTACAAAAGATATACCAATATCAGATACTAAGACTTTATTAAAGACTCATGTGAATAAAATATGGCAAGAAATATGGGATCAAACAAACACAAATCTTAAAAATATCAAACCAGACGTATCCTCAAAAAATCTTGGTATACCACCAAAACGAAAAGACCAGGTAATTATCAGCAGACTCCGACTTGGGCATACACGACTTACACACGGCTACATAATCTCCAAAGAACCATTACCAATGTGCCAAAGATGCCAAACACCTTTCACAGTCAACCATATATTAATAGAATGTCCAGAGTACACCTCAGCCAAGGCGATATTCAAGATACCCAACAGCCTGAAAGAAGCACTGGTTACAAAATTCAATGAAGTTCTGTCTTTTTTAAAACACTGTAAACTCTATAATAAATTGTGATTTAATTTTTGTTACATTTACATACATGTACATAATACCATATTATTGTAAGTCATGACTTTTAAAATGTATCTTATTTTCTCTATTTGTATCATAAACCTACCGCTAATAACCCTAGTGGTTGATGCGGATAAATAAAAATTAAAAAAAAAAAACAAAAAAATAGACTAAAATACTTTTAAGGCTTTTTGTAACATATACAGGGAAATTATTTGTCAGTAATATAATTAAATTTAGAAACCAGGGAATTCAAACTAAATTTATAATATACTCTCATTTGACTGCGTGTGACCTATTTTTAGTTTCAAAACATATGACAATCTTGAGAAATGAACTTAAATAAGAAAATGACTATTTAAATCGAGAATTTGTGTGTCTGGTGTTTGTAGTAAAACAATACTTTAGATAATTAACTTAAATTACATGTAATAGCGCTTGAATCGAATCTTAAACCTAAAAAAATATTAACTATATGTATAGACATATTTAGGTATAGAGAGGAATAAGATCGTCTTCTTCTTCTTCTTCCTCAGTTGTCATTCCATCGATTTCATAATCTTCCTAATCGTCTTCTTGTTGGGGAACCGTCTTTTGCCGTCTTTACTAGTCTATTTGTCGTCATTCGGCTTATTTGATCGTTTTATTGTGCTTTTCTATTTGTTACCCGGTTCTTGACGTTCTTTACCTTGCATCTACGTCGAATATCTGTACTACTAGCTCTGTCGCATAGTGTCTCACCATCAATTTTTCTAAGAATTTTCATTCTCTCTCTCTCTCTTTTTATTCTCTCTACGTCAGGTCGTGTTTCTGCTCGATCCGTATGTCATTATTGGTCTAATAACTGTTTTGTTCTGCTTATCATTCATTATCATTCTTGTTTTACAACCCTGCGTGGGTCCTAGCCTCCTCAAGAATTTCTTTCCAGTCGTTGCTATCCATCGCCTTTTTCCGTCAAGCACGTATTACCATATTTTTCATGTCTTCATTGATGTTGTCAAGGAACCTTGTTTTGGTTCTTTCTGTTTTTCTCTGACCAATAGGTCTATCAAGGAGAGTTGTTCTAGCTAAGCCATTTTGTTCCATCCGCATTACATCCACCTCAGACGTCATGTCTTAATATGTTTAACGATATCAGGTTCCTGGTATATTCTATAAAGTTCGAAGTTGTATCATCTTCTCCACACTCCATTGTCGTTCACTGCTCCATAGATTCGCCTTAGTACTTTTCTTTACTTAGTACTTAGTACTAAGTTTCTCTACGTAGTACTTCAGACTCCAGGTTGTAGCATGTTAAAAGGTTTTTTAACTATGAAATATTTATGTATAAAATTCTCCAGTACACCCCTGTCCGAGATGGAATGTATGCGTTTATCTATTTGCAACGGATTTATTATGTTAGATATATAGCGTTTCATTTTTCTACGTTCCTAAAATTAAGTTAAAAAATATCTCAAGGTTAATTTTCGAGCTAATTCGGTGATATGTAAGGGGACAAGCGGAGAAGAGGGGATAGTAGCTTGCCGGTTTTGTGATCGGGGAGGCGAGGTCAACTTCAGGTTTCAAGAGTTGATCAAAGGGAACGTTTCGTTGTTATATGGTAATAAAAAAGCCAGTATAATTTGCCGAAAATAAGTGGAATTTTACTCTATGTAGTATGTCAAATTTGGAAGAGTAACCACTCTTTTTATGTTCTAAGGATTTGTGTCAACAGTTGAAAGGTTATTTTTTCCTCTTAAACCTCACTTATTTGTTCCTGGTTGTTCCTGAAGCAGTTTGTTTTGTTCGTGTCCAGAGAGTTCAACCCCAGTGTTTTACCCCAAAGAATTTTAGAGATCCAGTTTTGCAACCCCAGAAATCTTTTAAAGTGTAATCTAGTGAAATAAAGGGATATTTTTCCTAAATCCAGCAAGTTTAGGATTCTTCGAAGCGGTGTCCTTTTGAAATAGCTAGAGGTCTTTTTTTTATTGTCTTATTTACCCATTTGTCCAGGAGATTAATGTAAGTACTCCTTTGTTTAATTTTTTTGGTAGTTGCCCCAATCTGACCCCTTGTCATTCAACTTATCCACGACCCCAGCTCTCTAATTAGCCCCTGATTGCCGCCCGCACTAGTATCGATTTTTTTTGCTTGCCCTATCTCGACCCCCATAATTTCTCTCCCCAATTTTCTACTCCTTATAGTAATACCCCATGTGGTAGGCAAACTATATTCGTTATAAGGTCTCTGAAATATACGTTAGGACTGGGAGTAATATTGTTTTGTAGAGTTGTATTTTTGTATTTCTCTGTTTTCTTGTTCTATTTTGGTGAGATGATTCTTTAATTTTTCTATTTGTGTTAAAACTATCATGTCTTTTCTGGTATTCTTCTATTTTTGCGCATTGTTCTTTTAACCATTGTTCTTTCGCCTTCTTAATTCTGTATTTTATTTGTTTATCCACTTTTTTGTACATCTGATTATCTTTGTTCTTATATTGACGTCTTTCTTCCATTAAATCTATAATTTCTTCCGTCGTCCATTGATTCTTTTTATATCTTGTTGGTATAAGAACTTATTTTTAATTTTTATCTATTTCTGTATTTATTAATAACCATTTTTTTCCGTCTCAGTATTTTGCAAAATTTGTTCTTTAACATTCATTAATCCGTTGTTGATTTCATCTGCAGGCGTTGCCTTATGAGTGAGTTCCTTAATTTACTTGTATCGATTTTTGCATTCGTTGTTCTTCGTTTTATTATTTTCATTTTGAACCTAATTTTGGTTACTACTTGGTTGTAATCTGATCCTATGTCGACACTTGGATGGGTTTTTGCGGATATAATTGCGTTCCTCTATCTTTGTCTAACTAATATATAGTCTATTTGGTTTCTTACAATTCTCTCTTCTGGATCTTCTAGTGACTTTCAGGTATATAATCTTCTCTTTGGCATTTTGAACAATGTATTAGCTATAACAACATTATTGTTTTGGCAAAATTCGATAAGCCTGTCACCTCTTTTGTTTCTGTTGTTCAGACCATATCCTCCTGTACATTCTTCTACTTTTTCTTCCTCAACCTTTGCGTTAAAGTCTTCCCTGATTAAGTTTCAATATCGCTCTCTGTAACTGCTTTGTCTGCAGTTGGAGCATAAACTTGTAGGATGTTTATTTTAGGTTTGTTCTGGTTTAATTGTGAGAGTATAATTATGTTGGAGTATGGAATGAAATTTATTACAACTTCATCAATGTTTTTGTTTAATATTATCCCGACACCATATCTGTGTGAACTGTCTTGACTTCCTATAATATATATTGGTTTATGGTTGATTTTTATCTATATAGTTTTATGGGCCATTGGACATCGCTGATTCCTAAAATATTCAGCTTTTCCATTTCTTTAACGGCATTATGTAACCCAAATATTTAAGATAACAAGGGAATATTATAGTGACCTTTACAGCTCTAAAAAAAGTCCACCTGATACAACTCAACAAAACCTGAAAAAGAAAATAATGAATGTAAACTCTGAAATATTACCCCCCATAACCGGAGAAGAAATAGAAAAAGAAATTAGAGATATGAAAAGAAGTAAGGCTCCGGGAGACGATGAAATTCTAATTGAAATGTCAAAAGAAGGAGGGGAAAAGATAAAAGACTACCTAAAGATACTTTTCAATAAATGTTTGTTTGAAGGACAAATACCGCAAGAGTCGAACAAGGCAAATACAATTCTGATATATAAGAAAGGAAATAGATTAAAATGAGCTAACTGTAGACCAATATATCTCTTGTCGCAAATCTATAAAACTTTCACCAAGGTGATCACAAATAGACTAAACAACAAATTTGATGCATACCAACCAGTTGAGCAGGCAGGATTTAGAAAGGGGTACAGCACAAACGACCACCTTCACACTCTTAAAATATTGATAGAAAAGACCAACGAATACAACCTTCCAATATACCTAGCGTTTGTTGGCTATCAAAAAGCGTTTGACAGCATAGAACTATAGGCAGTAGAAGAAGCGCTAGTTTATTACCGAATAGATTTACGGTACAGAGTGTTAATCCACAATATATATCAAAACGCCACTATGAGAATTCAGCTAGACAGAGATTTGCAAACTCCATTAATTAGAATTTGTAGAGGTGTCAGACAAGGGGATACAATCTCACTCAAACTATTTACTCTTGCGTTGGAAGACATTTTTAAATCTATAGAATGAGACAATAAAGGGATTTGTATGAACAGGAAATATTTAAATCATCTAAGACTCGCCGATGATGTACTTCTGAGAGCAACAACTATGGAACAACTACGAATAATGATTTCAGACCTAAAAAAAAACATCTTTTGAGGAAGGACTAAATATGAATCTAAAGAAAACTAAAACAATGACTAATACAGAAGACAGATCAGTAATTACCATAGATGGAACAAACATATAACACGTCCAAGAATATATTTACTTAGGACAAGCTATCAGAGCAGACAAAAGTAACTAGACTAAAGACATAACCAGAAGAATAAGAATGGGGTGGGCTGGGCTGCATTCGGAAAACTCTCATATACTATCAAAAACCAAAAACTATCTTTAAAAGTAAGAACAAAGGAATTTAATGCATACGTCCTACCTGTTCTGACATATCGTCCCTAGACGTGGACGTGTATCAAGAGCAACTTAGATAGAATAAAGAAAACTCAAATAGCTATGGAAAGACAAATGTTGGGAATATTGTTGAGAGATAAAAAGAGGAATGAGTTGATAAGATGTACAACCGAAACAACAGATGCTGTCGAACATGCATTGAAATTTAAATGTAAATAGTCTGCGCATAACGAAAGATATCAGGATGGAAGATGGAATCAAGAAATTGGCCGCTGGAGACCATATACTGCAAAAAGGTCAAGAGGTCGACCGCAAATGAGATGGAAAGATGACATTAAACAAAGCGCAGGTCCAATGTGGAAAAGACAAACAGAAGGCAGAGAAAAATGGAGACAACTGGGAGAGGCCTATATTCAACACATGAATAGATTTTGGGCTATAGATAGATAGATAGTTCACCGTGATGTTAAATGACTGTGTAATAAGTGCCTATTAAGTGCCTAATAAGACATACATTGTTTCCATCGTATCCATAATGTTGCTTTCATTATCGCTTTTCAATGATGAAGGCACGCTTAAATACGTTAAGTCTTTCATGTGTAAGACATTTAAGCAACATTATGGAGAAAAAAATATAGTGATACAATCGCATCTGTGACAATAGAATATTTTATAAAAAAATTGTAAATAAATAAATTATTGTAGGAAATTTCGTCGGAAATGAGATGAGTGTAAAAAACTGTTATTAGGCTCCAATTTTCTAATATGGCGGCACGAGCGGCGGAGATACAAGGTGGCAAAGTTGAATTTCGGAAACATCACATCAAAGTCTATATAATTACCAATTTTCAAAACTCCCAGAAAACTTTACAGGCAACTCCCTTTTTTTTGACCAACTGACTTTGCTAGTAAGTATTCCAGAATATCTTTTATTACCTCAGTATTTTTGCCATTTTGAATAATTATTTTACTGATTCCATTTACCAGAATACATCTTTTTTTAAATAAAGTGTGTGTTATAATCTGCGAATTTATATTAAATTACAAATGAGCGCTACATACCCTTGTTTTATCCTTTTGTATTATAACGTTGAATGTTCTTTTTTCAAGTTTTATGATCTTTGACTATAATACAATTGTTTTATTATTCTAAGCTCGTCTCTGTTCAGTTGTTTTATATTTAGGTACATTTGTACAATTGTTGTGTTGTATATTGTCAAGGGATTTTAATTATTTAACGGAACAAGCATAAAGTTATTTGGCGGGAGTAATTTATATACCAACATCAATTAACTTTAGAAAAATTTAACCAGTAGCGCGATATCAGGATTAGTGGCGAAATTTTCTCCCTATTATTTACGGATATTAGTAAAACATTTCTTTTATATTTTGTAAATTCTTTGTTAATTACAGTTAAAAAAGTAATAACTTTCAATTATACTAAAATGAACTGTTTTATTAAATAATTGTTTCCAAACAAAAGTGCAACTTATTTAGATATACAACAGAAAAACAAATTTAAAAAAAATACCTGACCTAGCTTAACCTAGCGATGCTTGAACTTCTGTAACTAGTCTTAAAAAATATTTTTCTTGAAGTCTGCCAAGCAGGCCTCCGTGGCAACGATGAACTCCTCATTTAGCCAAAACTTTTGCGTGGTGAGTGACTTTTCCAAGTTTGAAAACAAAAAAATAGCATTGAGCCAAATATGTAGAATACGGTAGATGGAGCAGCAATTGGTAGCCTAATTCGGACAATTTGGCCTTATCGATGGCGAACACTTTTTTCTTCGCCTCTTTTTCTGCAATACGTCGTTTAATCGATCCTATAATTCGGCATAGTCGAGTCGTTTTGCCCTTAGTCTGGTAGTCGATATAGATTATACTTTTTGAGAACACGGTGGACTTTACCTTTCTGACCGATAGGACACTATTTGCCTTCTTCGGAGAACGTTCAACTAATTAGGTCCACTGTTTCTCTTGTTCATAGGTCTCTTGTGTATATCAATGGATCCATGTGTCTTCGATAGTCACAAAATAATGCAGCAACTCCTTTGGTTTGCGCTTAAACTCTGCGCTCTAAACTGGGCTCACAGCTGCACTTGTTCTCCGGAGTGAGCAAACGCGAGTACCATTGCGCCAACAGCTTTCTTATGCACACATTTTTATGCAGGATAAAATACACGTGGTGTTTGAGATGCCTAATGTCTTAGCTATTTTTCCGCACGAGATTGTGGAGTTTTATTATGGTATCCTCCTTGATAGTCGTTTTCGAGGCACCTGGGCGTGGCTTATTAGAAACCGACGAGCGATGTGCGACCACCTTGAAATTCGTTAAACTAATCGAATAAACAAACCTAAAATCCGTAGATTGACGGTCTCCATCGAGGGAATAGAGTCACCCTAAACGAATTGCTTAGCTATATTTCTCTTTTTCCATGTTTATAAAATTCGCGGAAACGCGTATGTCCACATGCGAGATTAACTGACCTAACCTACGCAACTGATCAGAGTTTATAACCTATAAAATATCTGGAACATATCAAGTGAGGGATGGAAAACTCCTACAAACAAAGCAGGGAGGTTGAAAAGATCCGATGTATCATTGCCACCATCCCACTTATCAAACTACTAATTGGTATTGTATACTGGGAGGTTAAAATTACCCAGAAGCATAAAAAAAAGCGGACCTGATGAAAATCACGACAGACAGTGAATTTTTCGGGATGCCTTGAACGGTCTTGAATCTTATCTGGATTTCCATTGGAAGAAAGTTTGTTGTTTGTTGAAAAAATTCCGTTTGTTAATGTATACATTTTTTTTAAAATCAGCTTCATCATTGAAGATTGATCTATAAAATTAGTGTCAGATTTCAACAACTTCAGTCTTTTTCCCATCTTAATCTTGCATTTCGTTGACGTATGGGTAATGGTTGATTATTTACTAAACCATTGGACTCCACCACACAATGGATAATCCTCAGGTAGGACGATTATAATATCGTTGTATTATAATGAAAAATAAGATGTAAAATATGATCATAATATGGATTGATAAGTTGGAAAAAAACAATAGGGTAAATTTTATTAAAAAATATGTGTGTATTGGAGAAGAAAGGTTGAACAAGAGTGAGCTATAAAGTCCGAAACATTCAGAATAGTCATAGGAAAACATTCTAAACATTTTAAAAATCACCGCACCCTTGAAAACGCTATTGTGGAAGAGAAAATTATACCTGCTATATCACGGAACATTGGAACCTTGGTTGTAGTATGTTGGGCAGGAATTTTTCAACTTTAATGCTGGGGTTCGTAATAACTCTTAAAAGAATTACAAATGCAAGTATACAGAAGTATGCTTGAACTGTTTGAAATTTGTAATACTGGAACAGAGACGGAGAATGCAAGCAATGCTGTTTGTATATGTTATCGTGTTTTGTATTTGTGAGACATATTGCTCGCCCATAAACAGCGTCATGAATACCAACACAAACGCCATTAAATCTAGCTTTCTACCTATTTTAACCACTATAAATATTTTAGTGGGTATATCTGGGATAGATACACCTAGATATGGATGCCTTTGTCTACATCTATATGTGTGTATCTGTATATGTATTTCTATATGTAAGCATTTAAAATTCATATTTGTAATTAAATTTGTTTGTGTAAAATGTATTTAGTAATAAATAAATAAATATTTTATATATGGTGTGAAAAAATAAGAACTAAATAAAAAATACTTACCATCTGCTGGTGCATATATATTCAAGTATAAACAGTCTTCACTCTGATTCTTCAGGTAGGGCAACAGCCGTTTTAAGTACTCTAATCGCCCTTTCGGCATTCTTTCTAATGCAGCTGTTTCGTTGGTAATATCGGGCAGCTTTTGTGGACATACGGGTCCTAATTTATCAGAAAGTAGTATTCCCTGCCAAGGACTTGGCGTTCGAGTGGGGCTAAATCTATTGGACTTAACAGGGGGAGTAGCGTATGGTACTCCCAAGTACACTTCAATAGGTTTAAGAGAACGCTGTGCATCCATCGGTACCAATAATCCCTGTAGTCTGCCGTACCGTGTCTGAATGATTTTTGTACTGATTTTAGCATTTTTCGTAAAATCTCGAATATCTGCCTTTGCATAAAGTACGAAACAGATTAAAAGTAAAACACAATAAGATCTTCTAAAAATCTGATTCATATTTATATCCAAGACATTTGTGTATACGAAAAATTTCAAATTTATTACGATGTATTTCTAAAAAGGCTTATCTCCCTAATTCATTTCCAATATTAAACACAAATCTTCCTATAAAATACTTCGTTGGATAAATTTCCGTTAAAGAATCTTTGCAATTAGGTGAGCCATTGGCAGACGCTCTTTCATCTCATTTGAATATCGATCGATGTGAGCTCCTGCAACAAAATAAAAATTTATCAAATTAAAAAGGAACATTTTTTCGTTATTAAAGCAATATACAGTGCAAAAATTTGTTATTCAAATTATACAGGCTTGCGATAAAAACCTATATCCGTGTAATCGTCTAATAATTACGATAAAAATAGTTGAGAATTTCATCACGTACAATTTTTCAGTGAAAAATTCAGTAATAAACCGGTGAAAATCAGGTACGCTTAACTTAAATAGTAAAGCGAATATTATTTGTATACTAAAACACCTGTTGATGAAAGCAAAAAACCAGAATGCACATACATGGACTATGTGGTATGTGTGGACTTAATTATCATCATCGTTCTCGTTTAATCTTGTCAGATTATAATACGTGTTCCTAAATTCTCGAAATATATGAATTTTTTCAGTAAAGTATTAACAACAAAACAAAAACATTTTGACAGCTGACAGTTTAGGGTTAGTAAATATGAAGCGAAGGGAACAACGAGTTTTCATTGTTGAATAATATTTTAAAAATAATGAAAGTTTGGTGGCCACTGTGTGAAAATTTCGTACAAAATATGGTTGTAATATTCATTTAACTCCGGCAACTATGAAAGGAGTAATTGAAAAATTCAGAGACTGGATTGATTACTTACGCTAAATACACTGATCGTCCAAAAATAAGCCACTCAATTTTTTAAAAAGCTCCATATAAGGTATACCCACTGAAGATCTGCATATCTTCATGCTTCTTCTACTTCATGTGCCTTGTCCGTTCCGAACGTTGGCAATCAACATGGCTATTCTGACTTTGTTTACGGCAGATCTGAATAGTTCAGCAGATGACAATCCGAACCATTGCCGCAAGTTTTGGAGCCACGAGTGTCTTCTCCTCCCTGGACCTCTTCTGCTGTCTATTTTCCCTTGAACGATCAGCTGTAGTATTCTATATTTATTATGTCTCATAACGTGACCCAAGTATTCCAACTTTCTTTTCTTTATACTTATTCCTACCTCTCTCTCTCTCTTTTTACCTATCCGGCGTAGTACCTTTTCGTTGGTCACGTGCTCAGTCCAGGATATACGTAATATACGTCGGTAAGCCCACATTTCGAAGGCTTCTACTTTTTTCATCAATGTTGCGGTCATTGTCCACGCCTCTATTCCATATAACAAAACCGGGAATACATACCATTTCAGTAGTCGAATTTTGAGAGGTAGGGTGAGACTTTTAGAGGTGAAAATTTGCTTCATGCTAGTGAAAGATGCTCTTGCCTTTTCTACTCTTATACGTATTTTCTTCGCTTGATCCCAATTTGAGTTAACTGTTGTTCCCAAGTAGATGTACGAATCCACGTGTTTAATTCTTTCATTGTCTAATATCAGTTTCTGTGTTGGTTGTTGGGTTTTGCTTACTAAAATCCATTTGGTTTTTGTGATATTTAGTCTGAGTCCGTATTGTGCACTTGTTTTTTGTATCTTACTCATTAGGCAACTCAGTTCCTCCATGCTACTTGCTAGAATCACAGTGCCATCAGCATACCTTATGTTATTAATTATTTCTCCATTTATCTTTATGCCTTCTGTGCTTTCCTCCAGCGCTGTCTTAAGTACTACTCCTGAGTATATATTAAAGAGAATTAGAGACAAGATACAGCCCTGTCGTACCCCTTTCTTGATCTCAATTTTATTGGTCAATGTAGATCCTACTTTCACTTTAGCTGTTTGACCCCAATAGAGACTCGCTATTGTTCCAATGTCTCTGTAGTCGACTCTGATCTTATGGAGAACTTCAATTATCTTTTTGTGCTTTAGGTTATCGAATGCTTTTGCGTAGTCTATAAAGCATATGTACACATCTTTGTTCATATCTCTGCAGCGCTGGATGAGTACCTGTAGACTAAAAAGTTCTTCTCTTGTCTTGAAGAGAATTCCGAAACCCAAACTGCAAATCTCCAATGTTATCCTCGCATTTTTTGCTTATTCTGTTGTAAATAACTTTGGTGTACATCCGATGTTGATCACAAGACTTTGCTTTTGGTTTTTTCGGTATGGCAACAAAAGTTGACTATAGCTAGTCTTCAGGAAACTCCCCGCTGTTATAAATATTGTTAAAGAGTCTGAAGAGTGAGTCTAGAAATTGACTGTTTGTTTCGCACAGCATTTTCAATACTTCGCCGTATACGTTATCGTTGCCTGGTCTTTTGTTATTTTTAAGACCCTTTATAGCATTCTCCACTTCTGATTTTAGAATAGAAGGGCCAGTATCATCATTGCTTAGTGTACACCCACTAGGACGGTCATCATTAAACAGTTGTTTTATATAAGTTTCCCAGATTCTAACTATTTTGTCGGGGTCTAGTTGTAGATTTCCATTATCGTCGCACAGCCCTTTCGATAAAATATTGTAGCTTTTCTTTGTTGTGAGTTCCTTTATCTTCTTATGCATATTGTGATAGTTGTATACCTTTTCACACTGTTCGATTTCTTCGCATCTCTCCGAGAACCATTTCTCTTTAGTTTTTCTTATCTCAGCTCTTATTCGTCTATGGGTTTCACGGTATTTGGCAGTATCTTTAATTTTATATATCCGTCTCTCTTCCATCATGTCAAGGATTTCTGCAGTCATCCAGTCTTTCTTTTTTCTTTTATCAGGTAGTAAAAACGTAGTGCTTGAAGTCCTAATCTCTTCCTTAATTTCACTCCACTTTTCCAGCGGTTCATTGTTATTTTTCAGGATTTTTGATATTTCGGTATTTAAATTCTCCTGCATCTGTTGTTTAATATTATTGTTGGAAAGCTTCCTAATATCTAGCGTTTCCGACCTGTTCTTTACATTTGGCTTTTTTAACTTTACTTCAAACTTACATACCACCGGATTGTGGTCTGATGCTACGTCCGCACCCGGGTAAGTTTTTACGGCTTTGATGGAGTTTCTAAACCTGATTGGTGCAGCGATATAATCTATTTGATTTCTGATTATTTTACCAGGTGAGTCTGCCGGTGATTTCCAGGTATAGAGTCTACGGTGCAGGAGCTTAAAGAGAGTGTTAGTAAGTACTAGGTTGTGTTCTTGGCAAAATTGAACTAGACGATCTCCTCTTTCGTTTCTTTCACCAAGTCCGAAATTTCTCACTACCTTTCCTGTTTTGTCTCGTCCTACTTTCGCGTTGAAATCTCCCATTATAAGTGTTATTTCATTCTTTTTGGTTGCAAAAATTAGGATTTCTAGTTGTTCGTAGAAGTCTTCCATTATTGTTTCCTCTTTGTCAGCTGTAGGTGCGTATGAATTCATGCTGACAAAGTTCAATCGACAAAAAACTGAAGCCTAGTGACGATGCAGAGTGAAGAGAGTTCGTTAAATGGATTATTGAACATCAACAAGTAGATTCTGATGTTTTAAGCCTAGTGACGATGCAGAGTGAAGAGAGTTCGTTAAATGGATTATTGAACATCAAAAAGTAGATTCTGATGTTTTAAGCAAAATCATCCCAAGCGATGAAATACATTTTCACCTTGATGGCTTTGTTAAACGTCAAAATTGCCACATTTGAGGTTATGAAAACATACACATGATCGTAAAAAAAAATGAATCCACAACGCGTCACTGTTTGGTGCGTATTTTAGACTAGATAATGTATTGGACAATACTTCTTTAAAAATGAGTAATGGTAAAGGGAACAATACTTCTTTGAAAATGGTAAATGGTAAAACAGCAACTGTTACTGGTGCTTGAAAAGACGGTGCCACACTTCATACAGTCTGTGAAATAATTTGATGATCATGAATCTCGATGATCAGAATTGGCCCCCTAGATCGTATAATTTAACATCAATAAACTTCTTTGTATGTGGATATTTGAAGTCAAATGTCTATGCCAACAAGCCTCCAAAAACCTGAAAGGGGAAATTTAACGCTGTCTCTACGAAATGCAGCCATATTTATGCAAAAGAGTTATGGGAAATTTCCTAATGTGCTATTTCATATAGTATGTTAAGTTTTGAATTAGAGATTGTACACTACATAAAGCGCTGAAATCGGCAAAATTGTCGATTGCCGCTTATTCATTTTTTTAATTCATCCAAATTTTGGGCTCTAGCCTCAGGATGATGCTTTTTAAATGTCCCCAAAAAAAACTCAATGAGTCTGGAGATCGCTCGATTGAGGAAAGTATTGTTAAATACGTCTTAATAATTCGAGCGTGGTGAACTGAACAGCCGTCTTGATGAAATCAAAAACTCTCCAGATTTACATCGGGAAGATTGAGAATAGCGAGAAGAACATTATTCTGTAACAAATTGAGGTATTCTCTACTATTCAAGTTGTCCCTAATAAAAATGGATGATAGATTTTAGATCTAAAATCTATTAGATCACTTGAGATTTTAGATTTTAGATCACTAAAATCTAATAGATACAACAATAAAAAACTCATTGTGCCCAAGACTATGATGTAGTGCTTTAAAGTACTTCCCCCTTTTAAATTCAATGTTTGTTTCGTCCCTTCTAAATGTTTTCTTTTTTTAGTGTGTTTAAATTATCCATAAGTGTTTGTATTTTACCATTTTATTCATTTTATTCACTTGACCATTCCAATAATTAACTCATTGCCAATAGAACTTTATCAAAGTAATTTGATAACTACAAGTT